AGAGGCGTCACTCCATCTCTATTAGAAGGGGCATAATTGTTTCTTTTTTAACACATTGGGTGGAGCAATGCCTACTTCAAAGAAAATATACTGCCATAAATATGGAAAATGTCATCTTTAGATGAAGTGCTCTTCATATAAATCAACAATTCACTAGCAGAACACTCTGGAAGATTCCTGGGTGGATACGTACTTTATCTGCATCCTATCAACACTCTAAATGAATCCAGAATTCATACCCTCAGATCTTCCATCCAAATCTTTAATCCATCATAACCACTGTGTGAGATTTACCTTCACCAACAAAATCCTATTGTTTGAAAATTATTTTGGAGTATTAGACATATAAATGTCTATGCCTAAGATATCTTCCTCTAACAACGAGAAAGGAGGAAACTGGTTATTGGACTTTGTGGATAGGTGTGATAGCAGAAAATTAAGTATCTTTAAAACCAAAAATACAAATCAAATAAGTAGCAAGGAACCTGGAAAGAAGAGAAAATATCAGCCCTTAAGAAAAATGGTAGAAATGGAGTAAAACGATATGAATTTAATTTGGGAGAATTGAGTAGAGTAGCCACAAAACTCTGGGAAATGCACTGGGTTCTTCACTAAGAGCTACCAATGTGATGTGTAAATTATCACCAGCCACTGCAGTTTAGAAAAGGTTAACGCCTGGACCCCTTCTTGCTGAATCTCTATGGCTTTCATTCCAGCCTAAAGCCAAAGAACAAGGCTCACTGGCTGTCTCTGCCAGCCCTCCCACATTCCGCTCTCTCCCTTCCTGTGCACTCAGCTCAGTAAGCAGCCCACCCGCAGCATCTTCCCTCTTTGATCTTGCCAAGGGCTTTTTCCCACCATCCCTGAAACAATTACCCAAGCGGTTTCCACTCCGGATCATCATAAGACAGCGGCCAGCCAGAAGCCTGGGCTGCCTTGAGCCTTGTGAGAGGATATGCCAGGCATCCGTTGAAACTCTCCAGTGAGGTCAAATTGGTGGGGGGTGGGGAGGCCCTCTTTGAATGGCAGAATACCATGGTAGCTGTAGGACACAGAGCTCTTTTGACTTGGAGCTTAATGAGCCTCCACTTCAATAGGACCTACGTGTCCCGAAAGATAAGGACAGAAAGACACCGTTTACCTCATTCGGCTGCATATGCTGCAGACTGGTTCAAGGTCTGGATCGGAGTGACTCACCAAGAAAATAAGTCTTCTTTTTAGTTAGAGTGCTATCCCCTCCCCAGCAAGATACCTTCTTGGATGTCAGCAGGGCAGGGCTGATGAAAGAATGTGCACTGAACTTGGAAGAGAATGCAAGCTGTGATTGCAGTAGAAAGTTCTCTGTAAGCCTGAGGCAACATTTCTGTGTATTGCTTAGAGCACAGTGATTGTAGAGAACCCCAGGCAAGAGACTTAATGAGATTAGAAAGACAGAATGAATTTCAAGAAAAGCATCTAAGTGAGGTCTTTGAAGAGAGGAAAACATAAATAAATGTAAGAATCCTTGGATCATTAGTTATAATCTTTCCCAACCTCTTGATGCAATGAGAATTAGCTACCTGAGTCACCCTGCACTTAGAAAGCTGAGAAAAATACTCCCATGACAAAAAGCCTAATTTGAGAAAGTTTCCCTAAATTCTGACTTGCTAAGTAGGCTAAAAGAGGTTTTCCCTGGAAGAACTTCTAAAGCCGGAGAAAAAAGGAAAGTTCATGGTGCCATTTGTAAGCCATCACTAAATTATCTGTTCATGCAAGACACAGGCTGGTCACTGCCTCACTTGAGCCATCTTAGAGGAATAACTCTTCTATTCATGAATATCCTTCTTGGTTTAGAAATGTTCACTGATTTTGTGAAGAAATCACAAGGAAGACTCCTCTTAGATCTGTTCCGGAGCTACGTATTTACCTCAAATACCTCCCTAACATTCCATACTTAGAAATTTTACTCCAGAAAGAGTGAGGCCTGATGTGGACTGAGTCACAGCAGAGAAGCAAAATTTCAATTAGCAATTCCTATATTTGACGGTAAGTGAAAGGTATGTTTCCCTTTGAACAGTACAGGGGAGATGGGACAAACACCACCCAGGAGCAAATCCAGCTCTGATAGGCTGCTAAAACAAAAAGGGAAATAAGAACCAGTTTATTTTCCCTGACATGTGGTCTTGCAAGTCTTTATATGTGCTAGAAGTGATCCAGCTTGAGAGTCTGGAAGACATTACGTGGTCTCCGAGATTCTACTGGGTAGAGGGCGGTGAGCCTACTCTCCCAGTCAAAGGTTCCACCTCCTTTAGCAAGAGCAACTCAAAATTTCCCAACAATTAGACTCCATGTGAAAGTAGAAGTTGGATGAGGACTAAAAATTTAACAATAATTGATGAGCTCATTTGTGATATCTGGCCACTAGATGCCATCATTCCATCCAAGCCTGTTATTTAGAACTTTAAATTCTAAAGCTACGTATTCGGGGGCAGGCCCCTGGAAAACTATTAAAAATCTCTGAAACAAATGCCCAGAAAAGCCTCAGAAGTCTGAGGCCAGAAATATATTTCAGGCAACTTATTCAGAGAGGGCTGCCCAGTGGGAACATGAACATCTTCTCTCTACACGTTTATTATTTTCATGATTAACAACTGGTTCCCACTGTGCCCTCAGACACTGCAAACCAAGATGGTTCCAGAGACTTTGTCTCCATTTATCTCCAACTGGCTGGGCCCCCCTCCTGGAGGGGCAGCAGGGTTGTCTATACACCCCAATCTCAAAGCAGTCTGGACAAGCTTCTTACAGTCTTTTGAAAAGAGGGGCCCAATGGATGAAGCAATTTTTTTAAAAAATTACAAGATGCAGAGGTTACTAAATCTGAACAAGTGCCCACATTTTCTTTTTGGGAGTTGAACCAAAGGATGATTCAGACAGAGAGACAAGCAGCAGGATTTAGGGAATGAAGAGTCATGAGATACCAGTTTTATTCCTGGCTCTACCCAAGACGTGCCATGTGACCACCAGCAAGCTACTTCTTCTCAGCAGGTCTCTCGGCTTGTCCTTCTCTAAAGAATCCAGTCATACCCTGTCCTGTAATTTTCTTTGGAATTTCCTTGCAAAAATGGGAAGGAAGAAAGGGAATACATGAGGTATAGCAAAATGAGTGTGCTAAGCTCCTTAGACCTGGACATGAAGCAAATACAAGGTTTCCTCATTTTCTATTCAGCAACTTAGCATAGTTCTGATTTAGACAAGTGACGAAGCAGGACTATAACCTAATTTTATACAACCTTAAGTGAACACTTAAGCAAGTTGGGCTAAAGGATATTATGGATTAGATAGCATTACCTCCTGGTAAAGTATGAACTGACAACCCAACTCCAACAAGCCTTTTAACATACAAAAAAGAAAGCAGAGGGAATCTGTAAGTCAGGAGATCTCCAGGAACTAGACCCATTCTTACTGAGGGAAAGGAAGCAGGTAACGAATGAAGGCAGGAAAGATGCATCACGTACAATAGCCGGAATGGCTATTTGGACACTAATACTTTTCTTTTGTGTCAAGTTCATAAAGCTTTCAATTTGTTATGATGGAGGCTATTTTTGCCCTGAAAACAATTCCAATTTTAGAATAGAGAAGTTAATGCAATGTGAAGTTGTCTTTACCAAGTTATACTTCAGCATCAATTTTTCCTGGAACATACACATTCCCTAAAATGCAAAACATCTAAGAGTTAGTAGTATTCCAGTGCAATGACAATTGACATCAAAATTAATTAATGACAAGCCAGCAGCAAAGTTCCCTCTATTTCACACGAAGACGGTTTAGTGTTGCAATCAAGTAATATCTACATCAAGACTAATCAGATATATATTAATCAACTGCTTAATAGCTTGGGGGCCTTTGTATTTGAAAGGGGAACATTCCATCTTTTTACACAAATAACTGACAATTTTATCCCACCACATAACTACATTCTAGAAATTAGCCACTAAGAGCCACAGCTCTTGGCCAGTGCATTCTCCTAATAAACTGTAAACTGTCCCTGGGTCCCATCCTGTTTCAGACCTCCCTAGACTGCTTCTATTCCAAAACCAACCTGCCAAGAAGTCCAACAGCAAACAGTATGGCCATGAGGATTCATTTTTGACTTGAGAATAGACTGACTTCCCACTGAGCATGGGGAGACAAGGGCTGCTCTGATTTCAGAGTACTTTGGAGTTCATCCTTGGAGTTCTTTAAACTATCTGGAATCATTTTCTAGTCCTTCTAAAATAAAGCTTTAAAAGCACTATAAGGGCATAGGCCGGGCGCGGTGGCTCACGCCTGTAATCCTAGCTCTCTGGGAGGCCAAGGCGGGCGGATTGTTTGAGCTCAGGAGTTCGAAACCAGCCTGAGCAAGAGCGAGACCCCGTCTCTACTAAAAATAGAAAGAAATTAATTGGACAACTAAAAATATATAGAGAAATTAGCCGGGCATGGTGGCGCATGCCTGTAGTCCCAGCTACTCGGGAGGCTGAGGCAGAAGGATTGCTTGAGCCCAGGAGTTTGAGGTTGCTGTGAGCTAGGCTGACGCCACGGCACTCACTCTAGCCCGGGCAAAAGAGTGAGACTCTGTCTCAAAAAAAAAAAAAAAAAAAAAAGCACTATAAGGGCATAAATTAACAAAGATACATATTTATACATAAATATATATATATATCTGTCACAGGTTTAAGGTTGGGCTAGGTATACAGTAAGAGCCTGGAGTGTGGGGGCAGTTAGCTTATTATATGAATGAGCAAATGGAAATTGCTCCTTGACCCTGGTGATTTCCTATTCTGGAGTAGAAGAAAGGAACTTGCAGAGAATAGAAAAGAAATCAAAGTCCACTCACATCAGCACATAATCCTATAAGCAGCAAATGGCACCTCCCTGTTGGGGATTATGCAGCTGCCAATTCACCAAAATGGGGAGCCCAGTGCCTTTGATTTCCCAGCTTTCCCACCCTCAGGATCATATGCTACCTGAGGAAACCATACCTCTTCTTCCAGCTTCACCACCTTGGCCTGGGCATTGCTCAGAGCCTGGTCTCGGATTTCGATGTGTCGCCTTTGGTCCTCGTTGGTAGAACGAGCAGTGGCCAGCTCCGCTTCCAGCTTCTCCTTTTCCCGCTGGCTTTCTTTATCTGTCAGGACATGAACTATCAATACTGCCAGGCAGGAGCCAGCTCAAAGTCTTACCTGAGCAGAACTGACAAGTCATACCCATTGCTCGACAGCCTACTATTCTAGTACACAGATAAAAGAACAAGGATTTAACAAGTACAATGAATACTATATGGGTGATGGACACACTTAAAACCTTGACTCAAACTGTGCAAATGCAATTCATGTAACTAAAACATTTGTACCCCTGTAATATTCTGAAATAATGATAAAAAAAAAAGAACAAGGATAACCAAGATCTGGACTCTATCACTAGCTCTACCACTAACTTGCTATGTAGATCCAGAAAAATCACTTAACAACAATTTAATGGTTATTGTGCAGAAGCAATAAGAAAGTAGATGTAAAGTTTCAGGAAAAGTACTAAGCATTACACAAAGAAGAATGCACACACACACACACACCATCAGAAGAGAAGGTGGGCTTTATCTTCTCAATTGTATCTCTTCAGAATGGTCTTGCACTGGCAGAAGGGTAAAATGAGCTCAAAAAACTTTTTCCCCATTGTTTCCTCATGACAGTATATTAAATAGATCTACAAATGGTATTTAGTAAAATTGATAAAACCTCAAATCCCACTCCTTATACACTAACGTTATTTTCTAACTGAGATCAAGTCTATTTGACAACATGTCCTCTCCAGGAAAAGCCTAACCCAATACCACCCCCTAACTAAACTCATTTTATCTCAGCATCTGCTTCTCTTAGGAACCCAATGTTTTTAAAAAGAGAGTAAGGTAAAACTGGAAACCACGCTATGCTTTTTCCTACTCCTTATCCTGCAGGATAGGCTTGGTGTGGAGGGAGCGCTGGAAAGAACAAGGCGGAGTTAGAGGAAAAACATCAGGATCAGAAGAATATAGGCAACCATTTTACCTGAAAAAAATATCCTCTATTCGAGAATTTTCTTTTCTGCTATGTTAGCAGTTAAGTCTACTAGGGTTTGAAAGTTTAGATTTTTTTTAAAGTAATCTGATATGCTTGTGTCTTTACACACACACACACACACACACATATTAATTTATACATACACATATGTATATGTGTATATACACACGTGTGTGTGTGTGTGTGTGTGTGTGTGTAGATATAATCTATGAGTTTAGAATGGAAGAGCTTAATAGAAAGATAATGGTCTTTCTGGCTTGGGTTTTATAAAGAGTTTAGTTAAGTAGCACCTATATAATAAGAACCCAATAAATATTTGTGGATGGAGATAAGAAAAGTAGGAAAAAAAAGCACCAGTATGAGACAGTAGCCAAATATGTAATTTTGGGGAGAATGAAGGAACATTATCACAAGTTAGGGTGTGAATAAGTTAATATGGATTTATAAGTAGTATCTAAACAGATTTTACGCTTTGGTCCATATACTATTCTTATCTCAGTCTGTCCTCTTAGAGTGTCTGTACCTTGCTCCAGTAACCACAGCTGATCTGAACATTGAAATATTCCACCTGAAGTGATTATCATTGAATCCTGATGAGGTAATTCCCATTCCTCCCAAATGACCACTTAAAGATTCCATCGCTTGGCCCTAGTTTTAGATGTCTGTTAGTTAGATGGGTCATTTGTGCTTCCAGCAGGGGGTGAGAAAGAGGAAGCATTATGAAATATGCCAGAACATTCTGTCCTTAACAAGGCCTCCCCTCAAGAGAAACTATTTAACCAGAGCCTAATCTATTGGGTTTTTTTCCCCCAGAGCCTAACCAACCTGGAAAAAAGGAAATAACCAACTCCAACTCCAGGTGCTCTAGCCTTCCACGTGAGAGAAGAAAATGCCCAACTGGAGCCCTCTCTAGCCATCCTGAACCACCTAAGGGAGTGAAAAAAACTGAGACCCATTGGTGAAATTTACAGACCAGAGGCACAGGCTCACTAAAAGACTGAGACATAATCATAGGACTAGAGAGTACTTCCCCCATACCTTGCCACCACATCCCCAAAGGCCCATTTACCGAGGTTCCTTCTACCCCATACATCAGGTCTGCCATTCCACAAAAAAAAAAAAAAAAAAACGAACAAGGCATACTAAAAGGCAAAAAACACAGTTTGAAAGGACAGAGGAGCTTGGGCAATAGCGAGACCTCATCTCTAGAAAAATTTTAAAAAATATTAGCCGGGCACCATAGTGCACGCCCGTAGTCCCAGCTACTTGGGAGGCTGAAGCAGGAGTTTGAGGTTGCAGTGAGCTATGATGATGCCACTGCCCTCATGTTAAAGGAACAGAGCAAGACTATCTCAAAAAAAAAAAAAAAAAGAAAGAAAGAAAAGAAAAAAAAGAAAAGAAAGGACAGAGCAATCATCAGAACCAGACTCAGATAAAGCAGGGATGTTGGAATTATCAGACCGTGAATTTAAAACAAGTAGACAGCATGCAAGAACAGGTGAATAATACAAGCAGACGAATGGAAACTTTAGGGGAAAAAAATCAAAAAATGCTAGAGATTAAAACACAGGTAACAATACCATCTTATTTAACCTCGGAATATTTTTTAAGAATCAAATGAGAAAACAGATTTATTTAAGTGAAAGAACTATTAGAAAGCACAAACACCAAAGGAATTTACTACATAGAGGATAGTGATCATCATCACTATGATTAATGATGAGAGAGAATCTGTAGCCTCATAATATGCCTTTCATTGTGACGCCCTGCCTCTGGAGACCTTGAACCTTAAGTTTGTAGGAGAAACTTCAATAGAGCAGCCTCGCCTTCTTTTCCACTCTGACTTTACGTTTGGAAAGAAATGAACATTTGTTGAATACATATTGCATACCAGATATTGTCCTAAGTTAATCCACAGAACAATCATACAAGGAAGATGCTATTTTCCTCTCCATTTTGCATATGAGAGAATAGAGACTCGGAGAGCTTAACTAACTTGCACAAGGTCCCACCATTGGTAAATAAGTAGTGGAGACCATAGTTAAGCTCGGGTTGTTCAGAACTCTTTCTATTATACCAGACTTCCTTCTCCTAGGGTTGAGTTGGTTTGGTCTCTCTAACATTGCTGGAACACATTCCCCAGAGAGGCTTGCTTTGCAAGGGGGCTTTCTTTTCTCCTGCCACAGTTCCAACAATGCAGGGCCCTGTCAATGTCCAAAGACAAAAGAAGTTAAGGGGTCCAAGAGCCATGCCCTCTTCCCTGTCTAGTTGGAGGAGTTCACTTTTTCTTCCTAGAGCCATTTGATAGTCTTTTGCCCTGTAGGTACTCCTCTACACAGAGAGGAGTACAATATAGCAGATCCAGGGCACGAATCCATATGTTTTGTTTGTTTTGTTTTGTCCTCAGAGGCTGCCACCCTCTTTCTGCCAGTGCACTAGCTTCCAGGGTAACCGTGACACCACAAAAGCAACTTCACAACAATTTACATTAGGCACTGATGACACTAGAAAAACAACATTCCTTGCTTTAAGACAATACTGACAGAAGAACAGGAGGTGTAGGGAAATGAGGAAGAAAAAACTGCATTCTAAGCCAGAGCACAATAGAACAACCCGGAAAGGAGGAGAATACTGTAAGTAAAGATCAAATAAACTTGTAAAAGCTGACTGGAAGCTTCATGGAATGACTTGAAAGGGTCATTTGGAGGCCCAGCAAAGATGGAAGAGACTGACAAGTCCCCATCAAGCACAATTACAGCCAGACCTACACTGAGGGAGGCTGGGTGTAGGGGAAACCAACTATGAGCATCTGCAGAAATGAAGGCAGTTCATCTGTTCCCCCCACAACTAATTCTCCCTGCGGACTCAATCCACTATGAAGTTTTTATTGCTGGTTTTATGATGGCAATTGGAAAGAATTAGGCATTGTCTAGCTGGGTGGAGTCCATTAGGGACCGATAAAGAGAGGATTAATTCATTGTCACGGTCCTAGGAGTATTTCCAGACAAAGAAAACACTATTATGAGGAAGACACAGCTCTGCCCTCCCCCATACCATCTAACTCAACAACCAGAGTCACTAGTTCAGGCCATAGCAGTGGCTCCCCTGTAGCTACCTGTGCAATCTGCAAATGTGTAATGACGTGATATAAAGTAGGTGTTTACCTAAGGGAGCCTCAGGTATAGGTTAGGTATTCCAAACACTAATCATCAATCCTGCATGTTAATGTCAACTCTACCAGAGCCAGTGCATGGAACTTTCTAAGAAAATCCCTTCACCTTCAACATTAAGGGATCCCATGTTCAGTAAGGCCCTCTATTCAGCTAGCCATGACAACAGCAGGAATTTTAAGGGGCTTCTCTGGTTTAATACAGAAGTAGCCATTTGATATTACTAGATGTGGTAAGTAGCCTTCTTGGCCTAGGAGGAAAAGAACAGCATCTTCCAACTTCATAGGTGATATTCACTCTGCCCTGGCTGTTCTAGAAAGCTAAACAGAACTGTGCAACCTTTTCACGCACTTCACTCCCATCCACACATTAATACCTGCTTCTGAAGCTTGCAGACTTACTTTTTGCAAAGAGCTGAGAGATGGTTTTTCTGGTGTCCTCTGATCCCTCATACTCCTTCTCTGCAAGCTGCTTGTTGGCAGTCTCTAGGCGCTCTGTGGAATTTGGAGACAATCAACAAGGCCTCAAATTCAAACTTTCAAGCACATACTGTTTGCCCTCAAAATACTGACCTTTGGCAAAACAAGCCTGCTTCTTCTTGTTCAACGAAAATGGGTAACGCAGACATGGGTTTGCAAATGTGAATCCCATAACAATACTAGACCATGGCAGGGAAAGAGAAGGTAATTACTTAACACTTTCACTCCTCACTGCCAAAACCCAAGTGCAGAATTCTAAATTTCAACAAAATAATCCATCCCTGAATATATGATGATAGATTTATCAACCAGGAAAAAGAACATCACAGCTACATTGTAAAGTCTTTCAAATCATGTGATGTCAAAGCTAGCTAGAAAGGAGCCATGAGCAGCATCTAGTTGCACCCCCGGATTTTATAGATAAGATAACCGAAATCCAAAGATAGAAAACAACATCCCCAAGGTCAGCAGTTTTGAAGGTGTTGAAGATGGTTTAAAGTAAGAATGTTTCCCACTGTCTTCAATATTATCAGGTGAAGGTAGAAAATAAAAGGAGGGAGTGTGTCCTAGAAATAAGAAAGGACATCACTATTTCAAGCTTGCACAGCCAAAGGACATGGCTCTGCAAAATCTGTCAAGGAACAGAGGCAGCAGCAATTGTAGGAGTGGGCCAGGCAGGTCCAGGAGTCACAGGAGGGATCAGCTCATCACTCAAAAGGCTAGTCAGATGCATCCCCCCACTTTGATTAATCAAGCTTGGGATCAAATATAATTATAGTCACAAAAAACTGGCCTGTTATATACCCAGCCATTTAGTGCCCATACCAGTGGTTTGGACAAGCCCAGAGAGCCTACTTGGAGCCTCCTCAGCCTCAGCCCTCCCCCTTCACAACCCTGCAGCTGCTTCAGAAGTGCAAAGACAAGCCCATTGGTTCCCTCACCTCTCAGATCTCTGTTGAAGTCATGCATCCTCCGAATCTCACCCTCCAGCTTGTTTCTCATGGCTTTCTCCAGGGCCTCTCTTTTGGAGGATGACTTCACAAGGTTCTCATATGCTTCTGAGACACGCTGGATTTCTGTTTCCACCTTAACAAAAAAAAAAAAAAGAAAAGAAAAAGTAAAGATGGTGGTGATGGCAGGAGGTTGATGTGAAGATGGTCTGAAAACTTACACACAAATCCTCAGTGACAGTTTCTCCCAGGGCTCACAGATGGCCAGGGGACAAACATAACACAGTCAGATGGGAAAAGTTTCAGGGAAGGATGTCCAAGTTCAACCATAAGGTCAGTAATTAACTCACTATGTCACGAGAACTTCTCAGGTTAAAAAAAAAAAAAAAAATTGCACAAGGTCCCACCATTGGTAAATAAGTAGTGGAGACCATAGTTAAGCTCGGGTTGTTCAGAACTCTTTCTATTATACCAGACTTCCTTCTC